TAAAATGAGGCCAAGTTCAGGAGGTGCAAGGTTTGCTGAGTTAGGCTGGTGTTAATTGCAAAGAAAGATGGTGCCTGGGGGGTTTTCTCTTGAGTAGGCATTTAGGCACAATCAGAGAAAGGTCACTCACCTTACCCACTGTTATCTTTAAAAGAAATAAAACTCCAAGCCATGCTTCAGCAGGATTATATGTAAATTAGTGGTGCTAAAGATATTGTGGCATTAGGCCATTCTAAAGCTACAGCTTGCAAGATTTTAGTGTCACAGAGATTTCTCAACACCCTCAGCAAACTGCAATTCCTGACATGTTGAATTCCTAGAACTGAGGGGAAAACCAGAAGGAAAATATATTTTTAAAAAACACAAAAAACCTTTCCCCCCCTCTCAATCCAGTGTCCCCCCCCCCATTTTTCCTCTTGAGCCTTCCTACTTATTATAGATCATGTGGAGATCCTTCAGAGAAGGCTTTATTGTTAAATGTATGTTTTGTTAAGTGTACACAGTGTAATCAAACTGAATGTCCATTAGTCAATATGCCCTAAGAATTTAAGAAAGAAAACATGTATAGTTCCACAAAATGTGATAACAAATATGAATTCTATTAATAGCTTAGAACATTTTCTGGAGGTGGGGTGGGAAATATTCTTCTCCTGTTTCTTTTAATGGGACGTACGCAAGGAGCTTTCCAGTGGATTTTGTACTGGGTGAGTTTTGAAACCATTATTGCACTGTTTGTGTTTCAATCACTTGCCATTGTTTGCATTCTTGTAACAAAAGATAATGAACATAAGAATTTTTTTTGACAGGAATAAAAATCATAAAGTGGGTTTGAGCCAACAAAATGTAAAAACCATTTTAGATTTCTAAATGCACTCATAGTGCAGCATTAAATATGATCACATTGTGTGTCTAGAAGTATTGACTATCAATCCAGTCCTGTGAAAAAGATAGAAGTAAAAGTAGACACCGGTTATAATATGGTCTTTTTCTTGTCTGGTAATGCAAAACTAAGGTGAGAGGAAAGAAAGAAAGAAAGAAAGAAAGAAAGAAAGAAAGAAAGAAAGAAAGAAAGAAAGAAAGAAAGAGAGAGAGAGAGAGAGAGAGAGAGAGAGAGAGAGAAAGAAAGAAAGAAAGAGAGAAAGAAAGAAAGAAAGAAAGAAAGAAAGAAAGAAAGAAAGTAAGTTAAATTGTGGTTCAAAATTTATGAAAGTTTTTTGAGTGGTTTATGTGCAGGATCACCATTCCCTGTGTGATCTGCACAGTGAGTAACATTTCATGAGTCTGAAGCATGCCTAGAAGTGATTACATTTGGAAGCCTTCTTCAGATGCCTGCCTTGCATGCTGTTTCCTTTGACCAATACTAACCTTTTCAGGGCAAATGTTAATGTGTATGATATTTGTCTTTCTTAAATGAACATTCCAAATGAACATTTGGAACGGAAGGTTCTGGACTTAGAGCAGGGCCATTCCTGGTACTAGTCAGAGTGGAGCCACTATCTCAGGCAGCAGATGCTGGGGAGTGAGGCAGAAATGGCAAACCTTTCCCCAGCCATTCCTACTGAGTTCTCTGGCCCTTTGTTGGTTAACAAATCTGGAACAGTGGGCAAACATCCTGCATTATCTAAACTAGCTCCCTGCTTTTGGGTACAGTCCTCACCCCTTGAAATAAAACTATTCCTTATGTTCATTTAACGTGGAATGCATATCAGAAGCTGGAGGGGAGGATTACATCCTTTGCCTTAGTCAGCAAAATGTCTCAAACTGGGCATGGATTTAGGGTTGCTGAGTCTCAGGGCATGTTGGAAATCTGAGGGATTTGTTATATTTTCTTGTGTCTCCATGCGGGGAGACAAATCTGAGAGCTAGAGGAAGAGGAGTTTGATTTTCTGTTTATGAGGGGGCGTTAAAGCCGAGGTGGGAATGGAAGCAATCACTGTGGCTTCTGGGCACATATTAATGCTTTGGCCACCATATGATTTGGCAGCCATGTGAAGAGCTGGAATAAGTGATATTCACAGCCTCTGTAATGTTTTTAGTTCTCTTTCTAGCAAGCTGGACCCAGGCATCTGTACTGGCATGCACAAATCTGGTGCAAAAAGGAGAATCGGCACTCTAGGAAGTCTTCAGGAAAAGCAACCCTCCTTGTAAAAAAGAAGCAACCTTCCTCCTTGTTTCATAAGATGGTGGGACACATTTCTTTTCACAAATCTGGAAGAGGCTGGACTAGAAGTGGCTTCAGAGGCATTTTTGCTTTGGCTTTTTCCTTTCTATTTCAAAGTTGGGGGTGCTCAGTGTGGCCACCAGTGGTTTCCACCAGTGGAAAACTGACCACAATCCAGCTTGCCTACCCCAGACTAGAGTGATCCTAAGGCTATATAGGACCAATGGATGAGAAAACTAACTCCAGAGGATGGAAAACACTAAAATATTCATTCATTCATTCATTCATTCATTCATTCATTCATTGCACCATGACACTTACTTTGCCATGAACTTTGGGAACTATAATTTTGTACCTAGATTTAATGCACTAATATACGCAAAACACATATTTTAAAATGAGGCTCTGTCAACAGATGTATTGTCTGTTACAATTACTGTATATGTGTTTTGTGCACACATGGCATAAATATTAATTATGGATAGTACACTGCCAAAGTGTTCATGAACTAGCAAATTAAAACATCTTGCTTAATAGCATCTAATTTTGTGTGCAAAGGCCACAGTCCCATCACATCTGAATTTGTAACAGTGTTATTGTTGAGAGTTCTGGGAAATTGCTTAAGTTCCAGTAAAATGCACAGCGGAAGGCCAGCTCCTTAAGATTAGACTTAACTGTAGAAGTCCCCTTCTTTACCCAATTGTTCTTGGTATCCACTCTCACCAAAGCCTAGCACTTTAGAAAATAAGACTCAGGAGGCGATCTTTAAGTGTAAAAGGCTTTGTATATTTTACTCACTTAAAAGCCCATTTCTAAAACAGGCACTCATTAGGCTTAAAGTTGATAGAAAGGAAAATAGGGTTCAGAGATCCAGCCTGGAGATCTAGCATCTTCCAAGGTGAAAAAAAGGTTCTGAGACAAAATGGAGTCTCTCAAAATGCGTGAGGATGAGAAGGGGAGAAACAAGGGCGGAGTTTATCTAGCCCGGCAAAAACAAACCCCTCTGATTGGTTAGCATGCAAACAAACAAGCAAGTCTGTGATGGAGGCCCTTCCTCCCATATCTTGAAATTTACATCAAGATTGCTAACTAGCCAACAGTTATAACAGTTAGTGTGCTTATATATAAAGATTTTTGTTGCTGCTCCCAGGTCCAGCACTAATCAGGATATCATTCAATGTGAATTGTGGAAGATGACAACTTACTACCTGTAATAAAAAAAAAAAAGAAAGAGAGAGAGAGAGCACATATAGATGACAACTTACTACCTGTAATAAAAAGAAAGAAAGAGAGAGAGAGAGCACATTTTTTTTTTAAAAAAATGGCAGATAAAAGAGGGTTCCCATTTGTGTATTCAGATGCAAACTTTGAAATAACAACCATAATTCATATGGAATTTCAGTGCATCTTAATATAGTGTGAATTGCTGGGACCAACTGCCCTGGATCTCTTCTAGAGGCACTTGTTTCATTTATCTCAATCTGCTGTTCAGCTGAAAGGCAGTGTGGTGTAGTGGCCAAAGGAATGGACTATGACTCAGGACATCTAAGTTTAAATCTCTGGGTCACCATGGAAACTCACTGTCAAGTGACAATGGTAACCCCTTCCTTGAACATTTCACATATCTTGAAAACCCTTATGAGGATTGCCATGAATCAGAAGCGAATTGATGGCAGATACCATAATGGCTGTCCAGGTACAAATTGTTGATAGGCCACTGCTTTTCCTTCCTGGGGTTCTTTAGCTTTAAATCAGACTTCAATCTTCAGTAAAGGATGCTTTCAAATCAAGGTTTTTAATTTTATTTAAAACCTTATAGGTTTTAAATGTTTTTCACAGTTTTTTTATACTTGATTGTTTAGACCTTAATGTATATTTAACTGTTTTTAAAATGTGATATTAATATTGTGCTTCAAAATTTCTTATTTTACCTGTTATGAGCCCTTTTGGGAGAAAGGTGGCATATCAATTATTTAAATAAATAAAATTAAAATTGTCTGAACAGTGAGATGCTCTTTCCCCAATACTATGTGTTATTCTCTTCGTTGTAAAGTATGATGCCAGGGTTGCACAGGTTATTGCCCAAACCTATTCTGCCATTTATAAATGTCATGAATCAAAGACAAACTAGTGAGCAGTGGTATGGTGACACAACTAAAAGTTCCGACAAGTAAAATTGGAAGCTAGCTTAGCCCACTCACTCTTTTCCTTTTCCCCCTTATCTAGGGCAGACACTGAGGAGCATGTGAGAAAAGCATCAGGAAGTTCTATTGTAGAGGTGCTTTTGGTACCAATTAGCAGAGGAGATATGAGTCACAAGGAGAAAGTTAGACTGCAAGTCTTCTAAGCATGTTTTTCTTGGCAGAAGGTCCTGCTGAGCATAGTCATCCCTTAGAAACAACTTGTGCTACAGGAGCTCAGTTCGATCAAGTTTGAGCCTTGTCATAACCTTGTCATAAGTGGAATATTATCGATAATTTAAATCTAGATGCTGCAGATGTCATTTGATTGCTGTGAATATTGTTTGTTGTTGAGTCTCACCTTTTGCTTAGTTGCAGCACCAACTGTTCCTGGACGTTAAAAAAAAGATGATGGTGCGGAAGAACTTTTCTATGAACTCTATATCTATCTATCTATCTATCTATATTGCAACATTTTTATTGCATTCCACAGGTCCTCCAGTAAACGTTACTTGCAATATTTTTATCAACAGTTTTGGATCGGTCACAGAAACCACAATGGTAAGTGTGGTGATGCCACTGGCACAGAAACAAAAACCCTTAAAACATGTCATAAACACAACCTGTCAATTTTTTTCTATTTATTGTTCAACTTGCAGGTCCTCCTGTAAATGTTACCTGCAACATATTTATCAACAGCTTTGGTTCAATTGCAGAAACTACGATGGTGAGTGGGACTGACCATTGAAGCCATCTTGTAAAGGAAGGTGACGTGCTACGGATCTGAGTTTGTCTAGATGTGAGAAATACTGTAGTTGAAATGTACCACCTGACAAGTGTAATTTTAGGGTAGTGCAGTCCAAGATACTTATTTCAACAGTACAGCCCAAGATATTTTGCTATCTGAAGTAGAGCAGCAAATGTGTCCACCCCCAAAAATCAAAGAATATCATACCCAAAGAGAGTCAAGTAATTTTGACCCCAGAAGTAGAAAATCCATAAGCGCCTCTCCCTGATATTAAAAATACAGTGGCCAAAATCCTAGAAGCTTAGTCCATAATGGAAGGGCAGACATGCACACATTTTCTCCCTACTCTGATTATTCTTCACATAACCACTTGCTTATTGATTGCAAAGCTGGATGTACAACCAAATGCATGATCATCACATGAAGAATGAGCTGCAAGAGGGAAGAAATTGTTGCACAACTGCCTTTATGCATTTGGATTTTCTTAACAAGATTCTGAAGAACAGGGGTAAATTAAATAACTAAACTTTTGCTATAGTTCCAGGATGCCCCAAAGCAGCTGCCTAGTGTGGCTGCCTCACTCTGCCCAGTGCTAAGACCACCTCTGTATGATCTTAATTCTGTATGAAGACTGGTACAGTGGGGTCTTGACTTGAGAACTTAATCCGTATTGGAAGGCAGTTCTCAAGTCAAAAAGTTCTCAGGTCAAATCTGCATTTCCCATAGGAATGCATTGAAAACCATTTGATCCGTATCTGCTCTTTTCCGTCCATAGAAACTTATGGGAAGCTGCTATTCTGCCTTCGACCACTACAGGGGGATATTTTGTTTCTTTTTTTCTTAGGTCAAGAAAGGTTCAGGGAAGGCAGGGAAAATACAGTCCAGGCAGTACAGTACCAGGCAGCCCGAAGACTGTCTCCCAATCCACTCTCTAAACGCTGGGAGGAGTGAGGAAGCAGACAGGCACCCTTTTCACTGGACAACAGTTAACTGAAAGTTCAAATTTTGCACTTTCCCTGCCTCCCACGTGGGTTTTTTTCAGTTCTTAACTCAAATCTAAGTATGTAAGTCAAGTCAATATTTTCCTATGAGAGCGGTTCTTAAGTCAAAATGTTCTTAACTCGGGCCGTTCTTAAGTCAAGACCCCACTGTATAAGCTTTGCTATTACTTAAATCAGGAGTGGCTAGCCTTTGAGCAAAAATGGCATACATGAAATTCAAAGCATGAAAGACCACTAATGCTGATAATCACACCTACACTCCTCAATACCTTTAATCTAATAAGGTGGAGAATAAGCAGAAGTGCATCATGGGACAACAGTTGATGTACATATCTGAATAAGGTACATGGACCTCCCTGCTTCTTGCCAGTTTTGCTGCCGCCACTGATTGCTGGTACAAATTGTTTTATTGCTGGTACAAACTGTACCCATTCTTCAGGTATGCCACTTATATGACCTGAATGCAGAATTTTAAAAAGTTACTTTTCCATGGCAATTCCTGTCTGGAGATTCTTGGGGTTGTGGTCTAAAGAAGTGACTTTTTCAGGCTCTGCTTGAATGTGTTTTTAATGGAAATCAAGTGATTTTCTTTGAGAAAGAAATGCCACAACATCATTTCAAAATCTAATTTCTTCCTTTCCCAACCAAATAAGCTGAAATGTATTCTCTTGGAATAAATTGGACTAAACCTATTTAAATGTTGATTACCTGAAATTGGACTGCAGACTGAAAAAGAAGGTGGGTCTTGTGTATTGCCAGGGGGGGAGGGGAGAAAAGCAGGGAGACAGATGTGTGGATGGTCCAACTGCAGTGTCAGTTCAAATTATCCTTAGCTGTCAGCTTTTATATAAGTTCAATAAAACTGTTAATAGGGCAGGTTTCGTCTTTACATAAGTATTAAAATACAGCCATCCCAGGTGGAAAAGGTAAAGAAATAGAGCAATGTCAAGGAAGCATAGATCAAAGGTTCTTTTGTATTTTTGCTGTTACTGCAGTCTGACGCCACAGAGTTAGCATTGATTGTCTGCATATTCCTCTCAGGGCGCCGGTGTGCATTTCAAACCCTATAACTAGCTGTCGCTAATGAGGGGTTCGTGTAGTGGCCAATGAGATGGATGGGGCAACCAAGAGGTGGAATGAGGTTTTTTCCTATTCTTACCCCTCAGTGATGGAAGGCTGGGGTCGAGGTGACTGAGGCGAGTTCACTTGGGAGCCATAGTTTCGAAAAGTGACTTGGGAGCCATAGTCTCTTTGCTAATATGGCCACTCCCATAATTCCTTAGCTAATATGGCCACTGGCTATGCTTGCCCAGGGATTCTGGGAGTCATAGTCCTCAAATGGTAAAGTCTGGATTTGATGAATTGATGGCCACTCCTGCTGACATCAATTGAACTGTCCCTGACAGGAATGTTGGCAAGTCTCCCGGCCTGAGTCTTTGGGTCAGAGTGCTGAGTCCAAGTCTTTGGGCTGGAGTCCCAACTCCAAAGCCTTAAGTCTGAGTCTCAAGTTGTTGGCTCAACCCCCCCACCCCCAACTCCGGGGAGCACATGCACAGTCAGCGGGCCTGGAAGGAAAGCCGGGCGTTGCATGTGCAGAAACAGTGGGACATGTTCCCGTCCCAGAGTTGGCCTCTGCCCATGTTCAAGCCTATCAGCTGGCTGGTGGGTGCACGGGCAAAGGTAGCAGCTGGCTCCTGGAACTGAAGCCAGGCCTGCTGCATCTGAGGATGGCAGTGGCAGTGGTGGCGGCAGCAGGAGGAGAAAGTATGGAGGCCCATCCCTAATAGGGACTTGACAATACGACTCAGAAAAATGGGGCTGGGCTGTGAGTCAAGTCCAAGTCTTTAAAAAAAACTGAGTTGAGTCTGAGTCAAGTTGCTGGTGTGACTTACAAGTCCCCATCCCTGGTACCTGATGCACTTGATGAGGTGGCAGCTATTTAGCAAGTTGCGGTCTTGTGAATTGGACATGCGAGCACCAGTCAAGACTCTATGTTGACCCACAGTGACCTATATTTCAGCTGGAATGTGGGGCACGTAGCAAATGTGTAGAAAACTGCAGCTGGAGTCTCTTAACGGCACACAGCAGGTAATGCTTTCTAGAATACAGGGCAGGACCAAAGGCCAGAATCCAAAGGAGCAACTTGAGTCTTGGGTTCTGCAGGACATGGAGAGTTGTCACATGGCCACGTCTCAGGAAATATAGGTGCTGAGCTGACAATACTCAGAGAGGCCTAATCTCATTCACCCTTTCCCCAGGAATAGGGGGATTTGCCAGAAGGACCTTCTGACGCAAGCAGAATAGCAGGATATTAAAAGGACACACTTTGGCTCAAACAAACTGACAATATTCTTTGACCTTAAATTGTGCCGTCTCGCTTTTCTGCTTGGGCCTCTTCTGGGACTGCATTATTGGACAGAAGACAGGTACAAAGTCCCCTTCAGGCTTCAGAGTTCAGTGACTTACCTCTCTCTTCATAGAAATGCTTGGGAAGTTAGTACCTGAACAGCCATGGGGTGGCTATGTTCACCTTCAGATGACTTTAATGCAAAGAGAGATGACAAGATATTAAGTAGTAGAAATCCCGCATGTCACTGACTTTACAAGATGGCATTCAATGACAATATTTGCACGACCTAGTGCTGATTGCATTAATCAGACTCCTCCATTGCTTTGATTAAATCCCCTCATTGCATTGACTGTCTATAAGATATGTGGTTGTCTGTCTTTTCAATGTTCATTACTGCTTTTCTGCTAATAGCAAGGCTAAATATTGAAGCAGATTCAAACAAAGACTGTTGGCTGCCTTGTTTGCTTTAATCATAATATCTGTGGACAGTATTGAAGGAGGTCTATGGGATTCAGCATGTTCTGATATCCGATACTGTCTTCCTTAAAGCTGTCACCTCACCTCTTTAAAGAATAGCTTTGAAATGTGTTTACAAAAGACTCATCTGCTTTGCTTCCCAAATTCAATTTAGTGATGTGATGAACAGTATTGTATTCTTGTGATCCCATAAAATCCTGAGTTTCTTGAGGCTTTAAGAAGTTATTTTATCCATACAGAAGGCTGTTTTACTGGCTGAACAAAAAATGTGAATATTTAAGTTTTGGAATAATCTAGGAATAATACACAGACGCTGGATTGCAAGGTTTATAACTCTTATCATGTGTCAATTAAGACCGATGGGAGTTGTAGTTCAGTAAAACTGAGGAGCCACACAATGTCCAGATAGTGCTGAGAATCCAGCCTGCGATACACAAAATTTTAAATGTAAGTTTTGGGTGATATCTATCTTGATTTGATAGAGGACGAATGCTCACAGCCATGAAAAATATACTGGGCATCACTGTGGATTGAAATGGCTTTTCAGCCACCTTAAAGATGGATGGCTGCAAAAGGCTGGAGACTTTAGGCAGATAAAAAGTCTCCACCCCAGATTTCATATTTCCAGTTCTGAGTTTCACAGGAAAAGATTGTGAATTCACAGCAATGTTTTCCAACAATTTGAAAAAAAAAAACATTCTGAATGTTTGTGATAACGTGGGAACAATGGAAAATCTGGGGGAAATGAATGATTCTTCATTTATGTGCCTACTTTATTTTGTTTCACTTTATCTGGAGGTAGAATTTCCATCCCTTAGTACAAAACTTTATTTCTGGCCAAAAAGACAGTGTGGTACCCCAGCCCCCGAGTGTCCCTTTTCTATTGTCACTTCAACAATAAAGCTGAATTCAGTTTTGCAAATATTTAATGCATTAGTGACTTATCTGTTTCCAGTGCATTAAACACTTGTGATGAATCAAGAAAGAGAGACATTCCTATCATGAAAGCCACTGCAACAAGCTTTCAGAAATCTGAATTATACTTCAGTATATTTCTAAGTAATTTTTTTTAAAGCACAGTTTTGTTTTGGCCTTAATTCACCCTTGCCTTATTTCTCCCCATTCTAACAGCATTTGTGTCTTTTTTAATTTTAAGGTTCGCTTGCTTCTTTTAAATTAAGCCAGGAAGCCAAAACACATGAAATCAGCAGCTATTAAAATGACAGGATGCTAAATCCTTACACAGTGCCAAGAGAGAGGGTTCCTAAAAATCTCAGAATGATAACCATGTATTTTATTGGAAATAATTACAAGCATAATATATATCATTCAGCCATGATGCTGCATCAACTCAGGCGATCACACCAGCTAAACTGGTGTGAATGCATTCAATTAATTTTAAAGCAAACAAACTAGAAGCCCCAGCAGTGGAGGATTGGGTGGACGACTCTGGTCTGATTTGCACTGACTTGTACGTTATGTAATCAGTCGAAAATACAAAGCTGATGATCCCAATCCCAGAACCATTCCTATATTACTTACCAGTGTAGTTGCCTTCCTAAATTAATTTGATTCCAAACCGGCAGGGTTTTTTAATTTAATTTTTATTTTTTAGAAGACAGTGTGTTCCAACTTGGGCTGAATAACAGAAGTTAGCTGTCTGTGAGTTTGTGAATGTAACTGGCAGCCACCCTCCAAGTTCTCAGGAAGGGATCACCATAAGCATGGTTAAATGAGGCCAAATACTTGGTCATTGAATTGTTTGAAATAGTCGGCCCGTTGAGCTCCACAGTGAATTCTGGGAATCTCCAAAACTTGGACAGATTTATTGCTTGTTTAATGTCTAGTTCACTCCTTGTTGCAAGGATATTAATGTAACATTTCTTAGCAATACCTCCCAAGCATTCAGCTTAGTGGTCCATCTAACCAGCATCATTCGTTCAGATCAAAGACCTACGACTGTGATTTTTATGTACATTCTGCCCACTGTGAGCAAAATTGATAAGAAAAGGTGGGTTGCTAAAAGCTGGAGCAATAACACAGTTCCTCCACAAATTTCTTCTTTCTTCTATTCATATGTTCATGTGAATACAGCGTACAGTTAAGGATGAGCTTTTTGTTTATTTGATTGGTTGATTTGGTTTTGCTGCTTGGGATTGTTAAACTTTACTACATCACTGTAGATAAGACTATATTTTGTATGTCTATATAGCTCCATAGGTAACAAAACCTCTTTGCAATCCCATCAGAACTAAGTGCCAGCCAGATCAGTGGGACTTCCTCCAAGCTAAATGTGCACAAGACTTTAACCTGAAGTATATATTCAGATTTTTTTATATTCGCTATTATTTATTTATTTATTTATTTATTTATTTATTTATTTATTTATTTATTTATTTATTTATTTATTTATTTATTTATTTATGCCACTTATCTCTTGGCGAATGGACTCAGGGCAGCTTACAGATAATTAAAACAAACAGAAATTTAAAACAAAATATTTAAATCATTACAACACAATTAAACAGAGGAATATTAAAACCATCACTTGAAAACAAATTTTAAAATGTAAGAAATACAGAACCCCTAGTTTATGTTACAATTAGATCTCCAAAGCTCTGCGAGGAAAAACATTTTCCATGAGCACAGGAGAGAGAGAGCGAGAGTCTGACTAGTCTCACTAGGGAACAATTTTATTTAGAAGTCTACTGATACGTGACAACACTCATATTATTACCAGGATTTGAAAATGTTACTTTCTTGGACTACAACTCCCAGAATAAATTCTGAGAGCAACAGACCAAAAAAAGTAATTTTCCCAAGCTCTGATTTGTACTGTATTTGTAATAAGTACCATACTGATGACATTCACAGAAAAGCCTCAAAGGAATCGTAGCACAGTATGTTTTAGTACAATCAATAATAAAGCTGCCTTTTCCACACTCAAGCGACCCTCCCCATGACACAATGAACCGTACTTGTGCCGATATCCAGTAAGGTGTTTCTCACTGCCATTTAAATCAAGGGAAATCTTTCCCACTGAGTTCCATATGAAAACTAAAGCTAGAAGGCAAGGGAGTGCAAAGCCACACAGAAGAGTCAGTTCATGAAACAGAAGATCAGTTCTTCCCCTAGCCATGACAAGGTAAATGAGTCTCTGTGTGTAGGCCCTGTGAGGAAGGAGCCAGGAGAATAAGTACCATACTGCTCACTTCACCTCCCAACCTCACTTCACCTCAGCCTAAAGCTTAAAGATAAAGATACAAAAAAGTATACTGCTATGCATTCTCCAAATTTTACAATATGACATTTGAAGAGCCTCATGGCGCAGTGGCAAAACTGCTGTACTGCAGCCAAAACTGTGTTCACGACCTGGGGTTCAAATCCCAGGTAGCTGGCTCAAGGTTGACTCAGCCTTCTATCCTTCCGAGGTTGGTAAAATGAGTACCCAGCTTGCTGGGGAAGTAATGTGTAGCTTGCATAATAAACTTGTAAACCGCCCAGAGAGTGCTTGAAGTGCTATGGGGCGATATATAAGCAGCACGCTTTGCTTTGCTTTTAATGGATTTTTCCCCCCTTCTTCCAAAACAAAGAGGGGCCTACTTCATCTAACTAGAGACTTAAGGCCATATCCAAGTGCTGTCCAGGACACCAGATCAATTAAACTTTCATCTATTATTTCCCCAAGCTTAACAGCACAATCCTATACTTAGGTATTCAGAAGTAAATTCCACTTTTTTCCTCTTTCCTGTAAGTGGTTTTAGGACCGCACAAGCAGCCAGAACAGCAACAGTGCTGTCCAGGTTTAAATTGATATTAAATAAGCACATCATTGTGGTTTGGGAAATGCTCCTCTTACCTCTTGGTACTGTGTTATTTAAAATTAAGAGGCAATTGCAATAATTATTCCAAGGCCTTTGCCACTTCACTTTTATCAGAGAAATTGTTAGGTTGAAATGGAAGCCATACAAAACAACAACAACGTCACTGTGTGTTGAACCCAAAGAACCATGAAACTGATTTTGTGTTGCTTGTGTTTCTTAAAGACCAGATGACAACACTTTTTTCAAAAATTGCACCAGGGTTAAAAGCAATACTGGATACTCTCAAGGTGTTGGGGGCACCTACAGTACCTCTTTCTATCCTGCTCTGTGTGCATCTATTTAGAAACAAAGGAAACTTGTACTTGCCACTAGCTCCAGATTGATGAGATTCTTATCCAGCTGTGCCCCCCCCAACTGATGGTACCAAAAAGGTGTAAACTCCTCTAGGTGTCTTTGAGATTTGGACTGATTGGCTGTGTCCTGGCAACCACTGTTAGGGCACAGGACCACCTGACTGAAAAAGCAAGGACAACAGAGTTGCTAGGAAGATACGTTAGATAGCATGTTTGGAAAGACTATTGACTTACACCTGGTTTGTAAAGTTATGGTTGACGAGTGGAGCATGCAGTCAGTCTTTCTGGACAGCAGTGATGAAGATTGATTGACTGATTGATTGATTTAGCCTCTCTGCCAATACTGGGACTTTAAGCAGTTAACAACAAGATTTTTAAAAATACAAATAAAATCACAAAATATGTAATATTTAAAACACCAATAAAGAAATTGTTATGTCGAAAAACCATAATTGACTTAGTAGCAATTTAAAAGCAGAGCACAGAAAAAGAAAGAAAAGAAAAGAAGTAAAACAGCTACTTATTAAAAAAAAGCTTTGGACCAGACCTGTTAGTTGGATGTATACACACACACAAGTGGCAGAATATGATGGAGATGTCCTTTTAACACTCAGTTTTGTGTTCATTCCTTTTCTCCCTTTCCACTTTTCCATTCCTTCCACTTCTTCTTTGATTCCAATGGGAGTGTTTTTTTTAAATTGTGAACACAACCTTGCAAGGATTTGCATTAAAAATGTAAGCAGAACACATGCAACACAAAAATAACAGATCAGATAACAGATGCAGATATAAATGCAATATACTGTACAGAGAAAGAAAAGTCCCTAGAAGTCAGTGCATTAACTCTGTAATAGTTGCTTTAAAAAAAGTCCAACAAAGAAAATAAACTGTTCTGGTTATCAGTCATTGGAGCTGAAAGTGTGTTAGTGTTGGAGAGATGTGATTCAGGCTGTCTTTGGTATTTGAGAAATCAGATTCAAAGGAATCCTCTGCTTGAGTCTTGAAGATCAATCTCACAATGACGCTCCATACTCTAGGAGGTCAAAGGCAATCCTGCTGCAACATCTTCACACAATCAGCTCTTAAGGATTTCCCTCTTCTGACCTCTGTTTCTTTCCAAAGTCCCATTTACTCTCCACAGGAACAAATTAGCCTTAACGCTTTCTGGTTTACCAAAAAGTCTCTCATTCAAAGCGATTTTTAAAAAGGGGACCGCGTCCAACACCTGAGGTCAAGGTGATTAGGGCCTGAACTCCTACATCCTATGGAACAGTGGCTCGTTCCTTTCCCTTCTCTCTCAACTAATGTTTCCAGTGTGAACCCTCAGTATAGCATTTTCTACCCATTGGGCCATCATATGGATTATACATGAAAAACCAGTCTCCTCTTGCTGACAGAGTGCTGATATTTTCATGGTTTGTTGCTGTTGTTTTACATGACCTCTGCTTTGTCACCACCAGCAGAGAAACTGAAGTAAAATAACTCTATCAGAGGTTTATTACTTGAATGGGGAGGGGGATGGCTGAACCAACCAGCTGCTGCTACCATGGTCAAAGCAAAAGATAATGCTTTATCCACTAGTTATATCATCCACATTAGTCTTAAGAGTCTGAAAGTGTTGAAGGACCTCATCCTGGCAAGGGATTTCACAACCTGTGTGCTTGATGTTCCTGTAGGACTACCGAGTGAACATATTTTTGAGGCAGCAGTGGAACGACTCTCGCCTTGCCTATAGCGAATATCCTGATGACTCTTTGGATTTGGATCCATCAATGTTGGACTCTATTTGGAAACCTGATTTATTCTTTGCCAATGAGAAGGGTGCAAACTTCCATGATGTCACCACAGACAACAAGCTTCTGAGGATTTCCAAAAATGGGAAAGTGTTATATAGCATCAGGTAAATTTCTCTCTCTCTCTCTCTCTCTCTCTCTCTGTTGGGCATATGCATGATTTTTTTTATTAAAAAAAGTGTGTCTGAGATCACATAATCTGGCTTGTATCTTCTATTTTTGTTGTTCTTCTTTGATACTCTAATGAGGCTTAAACACAGCAGGAGGGCAGCTATCGCTTTGCTTCCTCTTGCTCAGTTTGTACTCTTCTCAAATTAGAAAATCAAGTAGTATGACAGAGCCAACTAGTAGCCTTGATGGAAACATAAAAGGGCCCAGTAACCCCAGACTGATCAGCAATGGTAATTTCCAGCAGCATCAACTGATGCCTCCCTTTGTAGAATTTTCTCCACCCCCACAAGTAATAACTCAGAAATGCTTACGTGAGGCATACATCCTTAGCTGAACAACCTATTTATTCATGCATTTTAACATCAGAGCATAATGGCCTGTGCCACTATGCCACCTGGTTGTAGTCATGTGTTCGCAGCCTCAGTTTGATGAGATCTGATTAAGCAGGACACATGTAGAGAAAGGGAATGTTAAAAGAGCCTAAAAGTAGCAAGGCAGAAGCATATATAAATGATCGTTGCAGCATACCTTTCATAGGCTACTTAGCTAACATGCTTCACTGGGTTATTAATAGCTTAATATTTGCAGTGAGCCTTGAAGATGGAAAGTCTGCTTACTGTTAGCAGAGGGAATTAATCAACATTTCTAAATTCTACTTTTGTTTGACACTATTATTTTCCCCCTTTCCAAAAGCTACTTGAATTATTAACTGCTATTACCTGTATTATGTACAGCTGAGAAAAAAATGTCAGTATAAGTTTTAGGCCAGGTGGCTGTATTTCTTCTTTTAGGCAGGGCAGTCCTCTATTTGAGAATCTGCCAGAGACCAGAATCCTGTTGAAGTTGTCCTTCCTTCGGAGGATTGTCCAGTCTGAGTCTAATTTAAAGGCAAAGAAGCATAAGGAGATGAACCTTAAAGCTGGCCAGCAGCAGGCTAGTCCACAGACTGAGAGGATACGCAGGTCCCCAAGTTACAGTCTTTCCCACACTTGGGCATGATGTATTGTAATTATGTTTACATTATGAAAACCATTTCTGATTTTGCATCTGTACACGTTGGGATGAGCCATTTTATGCACATCTATATTATTGTTTGTCATATTTTTGAGAGTTCTTGGACTACAACTCACAAAAGCCTTCACCAGCACCTCTGTTGTCCAGGATTTCTGGGAGTTGAAGTCCAAGAACATCTGGAGGCCCAAGGTTGGAGACCACTGTGTTAGGATGAGCCATTTTATGCACATCTGTATTATTGTTTGTCATATTTTTTGAGGTGATTTCCTCTGTTTTGGTCATGTGTAAGTGACCATCCTATTGCAAGGATTTTTGTCCCATTAAAAGCTGACTTTTAGTATATTCCTATAAGCATCTAGTTGTGCTTACAAATACTCAGTCTGTGGTTATTTCTTTGCAAATATACCCAATGGTGAAATAGTTTATTTGTTTGTTTGATTGATATACTGCTCCATTAGTACAATGCACTATTCTGGGCAGTTTACAACAATAAATAAAGCATATGGTAGCAAACTTTAAAAAATAACAAATTATTTTGTTATTTTGTATAAATAAATAAATAAAAATTAAAAACAGGCATTTTAACATGTATTTTAAAACAATCAGTTAAGCTACTGAACCCCATTTGAGAAACTTTGCTGACTGAAGTCGAACAACTTAACCCACAAGCACCCCTTCCTATTGCTGGCAATTCAAATAAAAACATGCATTTTAACATGTATTTTAAAAACAATCAGTTTAGCTACTGAACCCCATTTGAGAAACTTTGCTGACTGAAGTCGAACAACTTAGCTTTGTGTATCATACACAATTCAAGGTGTATGATACACAAAGCCAACCATATTATTTTGTCATAGGAGGCAAAAAATTCTCCTCTTGCTGTCACACTTTCCTAACAGTAATACAGTAGCAACAAATACAGTAGCAACAACAAAAAGTTGATATCTTAAATCTACTCCCTGAGGTGGCTACCTTATCCTTCCTTATGGTAGAGTCATCCTTACTAGAGATGGGCACGAATCTCGGTTCAGAGGTTCGTGCCAGTTTATATGCACAGCACCACAGGGGCCATGCATTCCCTTTCCCCACCTCCCCAGCCAATGACTCACTCACCAGTTAGAGTGTGCTCCTCTCCTCCTCCTCTTCCGTTGTTTGATCAGTCCCCAGCAGGAGCACAAGTCTGCCTGTCCTGAGTGGGTGATCAGCCAAGGAGGCAGTGCAGGGAATCCTGTGCTCCTGCCTGAGACTGCTCAAACAGCCAGGGAGGGGGAGGAGAGGAGTGTATGCCAGCTGGAGAGTCAGGGGGAAGGCAACATGCTGCACCTGGGGTGCCGAGCATACGAACTGGCACAAACCTTCAAACCAAGGTTTGGACCCATCTCTAATCCTTATCCTAAACATCCACTATATTTATACATGCCTTCTACTATGTAAACAAATTAGATACAAGGTTCAGTTGTATATCAATTGCATCATAGACTTCCTGGTCTGGTTCATAGCTCAGTGAGTTGGAGTACATGGCTGTGGAGCCACAGGTTAGGAGTTCAGTTCCCCACCATGCCTGCTGGGACAAGAGCCAGGCTGTGTAGCCTTGGATATGCCACATAGTCCCAGAAGAAGGTACTGGCTAACAACATCTGATTACTTTATAGCTAGGAAACCCTGGTGGGATCACCATAAGTCTGAATTGACTTGTTGGCACATAATTACTTTTTCTCAGATGCCTATCTCAGAACAGTCCTTCTTGCATCTTGGTTAATGTTTCCAGCTATGGTCCTACATCATCAACATGAAACAATGCATGTAATGCCTGTTTTGCATTTGCTCTTCAGGATTCTCACAATTCCTATCCCTTAGAGAAGAGGCAACAGCCAGGAGCAAATTACCTCTATATCCCATTCTATTAAATGTGCATAATTCTAAAATTGTCATGTGTCAGACATACACAGGATTGCATTATACAGCTACACTCCTGTTAGCTAAAATTCTGTTGCTTAGTTGTTGGTAAATCACACTAGAGTAGGCCCACAGAATTAGTGGGGATTTTGTGAGTCAGATTTGATTGATTCAAATGGGCTTACCTTACTCTTGACATACACAGGATTGCATTATACAGCTATACTCCTGTTAGCTAAAATTCTGTTGCTTAATTGTTGGTAAATCACGCTAGAGTAGGCCCACAGAATTAGTGGGGATTTTGTGAGTCAGATTTGATTGATTCAAATGGGCTTACCTTACTCTTTAGCGTAATAAGTTGCAATTAGAGTAGGGTCACTTACATAAATTAGTAACAATTATTCCTGTGAACTGAGTTTTTAAAAATTGTGTTGTCTCTCCTGATCCTAAACATACATCTGACTTATATTGGTTGGCCTTACTCCTATATTGTGTCATTAGGATTTTAAATCATGACATTTCATTAAAATTTGCCATCTTAATTAATGGGCAATTGGTCTGACTTTTGTAATTAAAATGCCCCTGTCTCACTCTATCAGTGGACAAAGAATTGTGGCATACTCATATTTAATGGATATTATATTCTTCCACCAATATTCTTCAATGCCACAAACAAAACAAGAGTGCAGAAAAATAAAACCTGAATGATCACAACACCACTGGACACAATAGATGTGTTACTTTCAAGAATCTTACTGCAAAGTGTGTTCTCATAAAGAATATTATGCAATTTCGATTCTCTATCTGTATATCTGATGCACACTCAGGCACCCAAATGAGTGTTTAACTGTGTCTGGGTGTGCAATAGACAACTGGAAAGTTTGTACGGACGAGTTACACAAGGGTGGGTTTAGACTGTGCAAACCCCACAGGATTCTGACCCGCGTTTACTTAACAAGCACTCTTATCACCTCCTTATTCTCTAGAAAAAAATGGAATGTTTCTGTTTGCTTGAGTGACATCAGACACATCTTACTGGAGGGCATAATGCAGCTGAGTGGAACACAGATGGGTAATTTTCCTGACATTTATCCATGCTGCAAAAGTAATATTTCAGGCTGTCATACCAGATTTGTAAAATTCAGAAGCTTGAATGAAAGTTAATCTGAAATAGAGTAAGCATAAATCATATTTTTGTGTTCAGTCAAAAGCATATCATCTTCCAGTTGCGATCTATTGCACATAAATACATCTTCCATGGATAATCAGCAAGAGGCAGGAGCATAGCAGACATGGCCATTGAATATTTATTTTAAGATCAATTTGGCCTGACCAGGTGCTGGAAGTAAGGTGGTGGTAGCGTTGGATGTTGTTGCACCACTTCTCAGGGGTCTTAACTATCCCATATCTTTACAATGGATGCAGAAGGAGTTCTAGACATTACATAGAGCAGTATTACAACACGTGGTGGTGCTGCAGGTTAAACTGCAGAACCCTCTGTGCTGCAAGGTCAGAAGACCAGCAGTCATAAGATCGAATCCATGTGATGGAGTGAGCTCCTGTCCCTTGTCCCAGCTCCTGCCAACCTAGCAGTTTGAAAGCATGTAAAAATGCAAGTAGATAAATAGGTACCACCATGGTGGGAAGGTAACAGCGTTCTGTGTCTAGTCACGCTGGCCACGTGTCTATGGACACATGCTGGCTCTACAGCTTGGAGGCAGGAATGCGCACTGCACCCTAGAGTCGGACATGACTGGACTAAATGTCAAGGGGAACCTTTACCTACAGTATTACAACACATAGTTCCACGTCATCCTCCTTTGCTCCCTTTGTTTCTCTTTCCTTCTCCATCTCTCTTGCATTTGCTTTGGCACCTGCAACTCTCAAAAATGTCATATGCCAAAGGCAGTTTTGGGGGCTGGCAGTCCAAAGGAAGGGAAAAGTAGCCAACATGTGGTGTAGACTTTGGAAGCCAAACAGCAGTAGATTCAAGACTGGCAAAACATAGGCTTTCTTGAAACACCCT